GTGGTATTATATAACTATTGAGAAAATCGAAAAATGACCTCTCTATAAAGTACCATCTTGATCCAATTTGCTAAAAGATAAGGTACTATATGTTGAAATCAAAGCACTCCTTCTGGTAGAAATTTTGTATACAGGATATAAAAAATAAACACCATTGTAAAACCAATAGCTTCCTCGTTCCGCTCAGAATCTAAAATTCGAAAATAAACCCAATAAACGACCAACATACCAATTATATATTTCCAGTGTAAACGAATGTGATTGATTCGTTTTGTCATTAATATTGTGTTTTCATTAAAACTATATATATATATATTTTTAATAATATTATGTATCTATGACATTAAATTACTTTAAAAAAACCAATACAAGTCTATGATAATTTTTGAACTGTGCACTTGAAATTTGTGCTCAATCGGTGTATTGCAGCTGCAGCTGCTGCATGCGGGAGTCGTCGTCCGTTTTATCGCTTCTCGTCGTCGCGATCGACCACGCGGGGGATACGATTCATTTCATTATAAAACATAGGTATTATTCGTTCGTAATGATATATATATATTATTACCTCCGTGCGCATATCGATACCTTAACCTGTACAATATAATACATAATAACAGTAGGCGGTAGGTAGGTATATACCTACTGTATAAGTATGTACCTACCGCATACCATAACCGCTTATAAAAACGATTACGTCCGCATATTATATATTATATTATACCCGGTGTGTATATACGTTTTAATAATAATAATCGAATAATTATTATTATTTATTACGTCTTACGGTGGAACCCTTCCCTTTCCTTCGGTGCCCGGAAATCTCCGTCTTGCGGACATATGAAAATTGAAAATATCCCGTCACAGAGGAATACCATATTATTATATACATAACCTTACCTTTATTATAATAGTCATCAAGTCTGAATTGACACTGTTCTACCGAAGTCGAATGTGTGTCATTGCCCTGGAATTTCAGTCGTATTATACTTTTTTTGACGGGATGGAGGTTAAAGTTTTTTCCATAAAGCTCTTAACTCGTTCACGACTATTACAATATTATTATAATGAAGTGCTGTTTCTCAATTATTCCGTGAACCAACTGTCGTCTGTCTTAATGGTCTGGGGGATGTTTTACTATATAGCTTTATTACTAATATTTAGTCGTACTCACAGTTTATCGTGTTAACAACACTTTTAACCGTATTAATATAACGTATGGCCCTATAGTTATGTTTCCGGAAAACATGTGTTAAATAAAAACAACTGTTCGTGTAAAAATTTAAACAAGGTGCAGAGTATATACATTAAAGTAGATACCTATAACATACGATATTATGACGTGTAAAATAGTTTCAGGTGATAATCAAAAACATTTTTATTTAAATTTAATTATTGTCCTATTTTTCTTTGAAAACCGTTCCATTATTTCATTGATAGTCAATAACTTTTGCTGTAATATTCATACGGAGTGTGCGTTAAAACTTATTTTATGTGTTGAACTTTACACGGAGAGAACTCTGATTTCGAGTAGCAGAGCTTAACTTATATGTAGGAAGAAGGCCATTTCCGTACATGTCCACAAGTTATGGCTCTATAAGTTAACGGATTAAAAGTTTAATTTAAAAATATATTATAATATATAACATGCAGACAAAATATACATTTTGCGTTTCTTCCGATACAGATGCGATTAACCGTTCCGAGATACACTTAAAAATCGGAAAAAATAATGGCTATCCTAAACGGGAAATGGGAATCAATAAAAATATGGCCAACTGGCCAACTCATTCCTCCCCTCTTGGTGGGATTTCCGCCTAGGAGTTAATTGTCTTCGTGCTATACGCCAATTAATACGTAAATGCGTCGAAGTAGCTAATTAAATAAGACAGTGTGGAAACCGCTATATGCCCCCTACCGCCCCTCAACAAGCCTATGATCGAGAATTTCTTCGGTAGTCGGCGAGCGTGTGTTTTTCAAAGCGGTTTTTTTCTTCAAAATTTAGCCGGAGGCCGCAGGCGGCGGTCGGTTTGATTATGCGCACTGTGGGCGTTAACTGTGCGGAGGAGAGGAAAAAATTGTGAGAACGGTGCTCATCATCGCGGAGTGTTAATAATAATTAATCGACGGACCTATTGTTTCGGATGTCCGAGCCGCCGCCGATCGGTATCACGAGTGGTGGTGGGGGCGAAATTGTTATTATATTATGTTATTAAAACCGGTAATTTGACCGCGGCAAACGGAAAATCGCCGTCGGCTTCTAATTATTATTATCGTGTATAATTTTTCGTGTTTTTTCTCTCCAACAATATTTATAATCTTCTCTCACTCTCTGTACACTTCTGCCACGGGAATATTATTATTAATATTATTATTATCGTGTAGTGTTTAACACGTCCAACGCGTAAATTATACACACAAAAACCTATGTAGACGCGTCGTATACGACGACGACACGTCGTCGGCTGGAAATTTCTTCGCACCTCTCTACCGACACGTATGATAATAATAATAATATTTTAATAACACACCGGCCGCAACGCAAACCGAGCGTTTGACGTTATATTATTATTATATTTTTCGTCTTTTATTATTATTAATATTTTTTTTTTTTTTATTATTATTATTAAGCTCCCGCGGGCCGCCGGCGGCGCAGCTTGTGAATGTGTGTGTGACGAAATCCATCGGCACGTTGTTATAACAACCGCTAATGGATCATGACCGGCCTCGGTTTTCACGCGACCGGTTCGGCTAGGCGGCGGCGCGCGCGTCGTATTAATAATAATAAATTACAATAATACGTGGCCTATTTACGCCCGCGAGGGGCGAGACGAATTTTTTTTCAAACCGTTTGACGAACGGACCGCGTTTCCTTATGCCTAATATATACATATTATATTTCTAGCGGTGCGACACCGTAATCTTAGACCGATCCGCAGACGCTTTTACCCCAAAAATGTTCTTTAAACTTTTCACCCGGACCCTTATAGGTAGGTACTATTTTGGTGAGGGTGCTGGGGACCTGACAAATATATGACCGAATTCATATACTCTACTGCGTCCAAGTATAAAACATAAAACCCTCGAATAATAAAGTATAAGTGTATATAAATGAAATATAATATTGTTCAATGGTTTTACACGCATTCGGTACACAACATAATATCAATAATTCATAACATATTTGTCAATTGTCAGTGTTATATATATATACTACCTATATTCAACAAAATATATGGAGTAAAGTATTACAGATTTACAATTAATAACGACATCATAATAATATCATGTCTCATATAGTTATATATGTCTATTGTCTACACTGTATTGGTATTTGGTAGATATAGTCAAATAAGTAAAAGAAATAAATTGCATAAAATAATTTTGTTTTTGATCAATAGATTGATTTTTATGAATTCTAAATACTAATTTTGCTATGTAGCTCTAGCAATATTTCTTTCTTCCTAAGTTTTTCAATTATTTGAATTTGGATAAGACATTGTTGTTTTTTTCGTTTAGGGATATACGGCATAATAATTTTTCATATGAATTTGCTTTATATACATTTATATAAAAATTCATTAGACGTGGTCGGTGTATTTATATGTATATTAACTATTAAATATTCACCGAAAACAGTATATTTCCTACGTACTTTTTACGGGCCACAATCGTGATAAAAAAAAAAAGGAAAAAGAGTCACGTTGGTTAGCTTTACAATATGAAATGTGTTTCATTTATCTAAGTATGGAGTTACAAAATTTATTTTATTTCACATTAAATTCACATAGAATTTGGAACTATATAATAAACTTTTATTCGCAATTCGGCAATCGAAGCTTTCATTAATTTTCTTATCGAGCCAATAGTAGTGGGAATTGAGTTCCGAAAGAGGGAATGCTTTCAATAATATTGATAGACATGGGATTCGTGGCGCCACGATATCAACACCATCGCAGACGGCGTCTTCCGGCGGATTTGTAACCCGACAATATATATACATTGTCATGTATCTGCACGTGTTGTTATCGGTTCGGCAACGATAAAGTCTACAAATTGACACGTGCCGCCCAGCCCGACACCCCGTTTTAGGACGACGATAAATAATTGACACACACTATGAGACAACGCCGAACGAGGATTATCCGCCTGACCTTGCGTACATGTATAACAATAATGAGCCGCCCTCTCGCAACGAGTCACAAGCCTAATAATAATATGTCTGTGATATTTTAATAATGATGTGTGTGTACCACCGTCCCGGTGTGGTGTTCGACGATATTTTTACACCAGGGGTGCATTTGATCGCGATGACGCCCTACACGCCCCCCGCAAATCCGTTTGTGGAGTAGGTGCTTACTGCATATTCTTCATAACGGCTATATTCGCCAACCCCCTTTGAGGGGGTTCTACCCAAGACTTCTATCCAAGACCTATACATAATAAATGTGTTTATGTGTGTGTGTGAGTGTGTTGCACCGCACGTGCCCCGGATTTTGTATGCAATCTTTTCGCAACAAAGTTGAGTGTAAGTTTGCCGTCGCAGATCGAGTTGTATATTATGTAAAATGATGATCCAATAACAAATGCTCAAAGTTTATTCCAACAATATATTTTGTCAAAAACAGTAGATCCGTCCTCCAATGCCCTATTTCAATTGATGATATAATATAATATTATGTCTCAACTGTATATTAATTCATATGGATTAATACTTCACAAGTAGATATTCTCGCCAGTAATAATATAATATACCGGTATAGTCTTCGTGTTATAAATCAATTGAATTTGACCACACACGCGTGGATCATCGTTTATTTTAAGGCATCATATTACATGAAATTAGGGATAACACTTTAAACTCGCGAGATGATAAGTTTTTGTATGATTTAAAATATATATCTTATGCATTGTATGGTATCTGCTAATAACACGATAAGCAAATAACGAAACACTTGAACGTCATAACGAATAAAGTGACAAGTTTATAATAATCACACTTTATGTCAATTTCGTTTTGCAGAGACCCAGTGGACTTGATGTTCCTGGAACACCAGTACAACCAACACTTGCTCAGCCGGGCAGCTACGCCCATGTTCTGGCCGTCATCCCAGGACGGCGGAGTCCACCCCGGACAGCAGTCGGCAATGGAACAGCACCACCAGCACCAGCTGAACCAGCAACAGCATCAGCTGCAGCAGCAGCACCACCTACACCACCAACAGCAGCAGCAGCATCAACAGCAGCAACAGCAACAGCAGGATCAGAGCAACGGTGGTGGCAATTCGGGATTCATGTTGGCCGCCGCGGCCGCTGCCCGTGCTCAGTTTCACATGTTGAACAACGCGGCAGCTGCGGCCGCTGCGCAAGGCGGTGGCAGAACCCAGTCCGGCGGTGACGGTAGCGGTGGCGCCGGTGGGCCGTCTGCCCAGCACTACCAGCACTCGGCTGCTGCCGCAGCGGCTGCTGCTGCCGGCATGCACTCGCTCATAGTGTACGGCAACCACTTTCAACAGTCGCAGTCGCGATTTGCCGCCGCTGCAGCCGCAGCAGCAGCGGCCGCAGCGTCGTCGTACCCGGGACCGCCACCCCCGCCGCACCCGTCGTCCATGTTCTCGTGGCCGCCGCAGTCGCAATACCCGAGGTACGTGTCGGCGGCCGCCGCTTTTCAGCCTCCGCCACCGCCGCAACAGCAACAGCCCACGGCTTCGTCGTCCACCTCGGCCGGCCCTCCGCAATCCCCGCCGCAAGCGTCGCTTCAGCCACCGCCGCCTCCGCCACTCCAACAGCAGCCGCAGCAGTCCACGTCGTCCACTTCGTCGTCGTCACCGTCGTCCACCGCCGCGGCCATCGTCCATCACCATCACCACCACGGCGCTGGTCTGCACCAGCAACAGCACCACCACCATCACCGGGCGTACAGTCCCGCTCGAACGCCGCCCGGCGCCGGCGGCTCGTCGTCGGCCGAGTCGCTGCCTTCGCCGGACGTGGACGGCAGGTCAGCCACCAAGTACCAGAAGCGCCGTTCTCCGTCCGCAGCCAGGTACTCTCCATTTGACGCCGTCAAGGCCGACGAATCGTAATCCGTTCCCGCTCGCTCTGAGAGCGTTTTTCTGTACAAATTACCCCCGCCCATCATCCCCTAACGCCTCCTCGTCCTAACCCGTTTTGTAAATATTTATTGTATCATTTTTTTTATATATAATATTCATCCACCGGACGCAACTATTATATTATATTATTATTATTGTGTTATATATATTATACTTATTATTATATTATACTTAGGTACTTATTACTATTACTATTACTATATACTATTACCTACTACTTAATACTCATTATAATACATGATAATGATAATATGTATACTGTATTACCGCTTACCTCTTACCAATATTGGTACTCTGCGTATCTGTGGTTCATGTTTTTGGGGTGTATTTATATATAGGTTAGTGACACCAATGGATAAGTATATTAATACTTATTATGTGTTACTATATAGTTCTCCTCGGGTAGTCCAAGCGGTGCGGTTTTCCGGTTTCTGGTTCAAACCTTCTTTTGATATTTTATAGGCATCGCCTGAGCCGTTTCGACTACCTGTTTTTCCTTTCCGCACAAGATCACGCACCGTCAAAAGCCGGTTTCAGCGTTGAACGCGTGTCTGGGACCTGAGATTTTTCAAATTCAAATTTTTCATTTTAATATTGTAGTCAATGCCTGGAAATCGATAAACACCACACACTCCCCTCCCCCCCCCCGCCACCAGTGACTACCACTACAGACAGTACCGCGGTATATACCGTTTGTGAGGTGCGCCAGATTTATGTGCAATATATTATTATAATATTACTTCGTCGTGTTTTTTTCGTTTCTTCCAGTTGTTTATTATTATTATATATTATGATATTATATTCTTCAGTTTGCCACAAAAAACGCGTTTCTGGTACAAAATATTTTCTCTTCGCGTACTTACATATAGTTATGTCCACGACGAGAAGTCGTAAATATCCATTCATTATTATGTGTTGATTATAATATTATTGTTACATTCGTATCGAAAATTACTCTCGTCCACGTACGCAGGTGAACTACGCGCGACATGGACACTAATACTCATAATATAATATTTTATTAAGAACGACAGAAATGGGTGTTAAGACAGTTCAATGGTGTGTATCATTGACATGGAGTCACGCATTCGTGGGTATGCAATAATAACAAACAGCAAGAATGACGTTATTATTACAATAACGATCAATAGGATTTATGTTTACGAAATTCTCACAGTTACCAAAAAACTATTATTATTTATTAATGATTCATCATTATTATTATATTATACATTTTTGGTTTTTTCTCTCCTTGTATACATTAACAACAAAAAAAAAAAAAACATTTTCCAATTCGTATTTGTTGGCTTATTCAAGTACTTACACACACACACACACTTAAATATATTGATATTTTATAATATGCCTAAAACGAATGTACATTGTATATTAGATATACATAGATATAGATAGGTGTAATGGATTGATAAAAACTAGGTAACCAAAGATGTTTCTTATTATTATTATTATTATGCATTTCGCTATGCAGATGGCTGTCGCGAAATGTGTTATGCGTGTTATTATTTTTTACATACGCTGTAAATACCGTTAGAAATTTTTTTATTTATTTAATTATTTACCGTATACGTTTCTCGATACGTCTATGTAAAATATTATATTATATTATTATTATAATTATTAGATATTTTCTATTAAATCATATATCTCGCTATTATATTAATTATTATATTTAATTTTTAACAAAAAAAAAAAAATAAATAAATAATAATAATATAAATATAAATATAATAATTATTATAATATGTATTTGTTTGAATTTTCTGTCATACCTACATATATATCTCGTGTGATTTGTACATATTTATACAGTTTTACTCGAGTGTAACACTATTGAAATTATAATATATATTATTATCGTGTAAGTGAACGTTTTATGTGTAATAAAGAATAGTATAATAATCGTATATGAACAATGTGTCCTGTTTTTTTTATTTACGAGATCCTTTCAAAAGTCCTTTCTGCATATATTTGTAGGTACAACAATCATTTCCAATAAATGGGCCACCGAAGATTTGAATGCAGCAGCTACCTGTAACGGATATCGATAACATTTTACAATGTTGCATGCGTTTTGTTTTAAAAATGTTTGTGTCTAAGTGTACACGGTAAGTTGGTTGAAATAATGCAATTCAATTTCAATATATCTTTTCAGGTGGGAAAGTGAATCTATGAGTGCACTGGAAGGTCAACATTTAAAATTCCGAGTAGTTTTTAAAAGCACCTGGAAAAACAAAAAAATAAATAAACATAAACGGGAGTTTTTACTCAAAATTGATTTTGGTTTTAGGAGGAACTCTAAAAAAAATTTCTATAAATACACGAAATTTTCACTGAATGTTCATATTATCATTTTCTATACACCACAACATTTTCAAAATATATTGACTTATGTTAAGCTATTTATATCAAGGTTGGCACGAAAAAGCACAGCCCGAAAAAACTCGAGCTTCTTTTTTGGGCTAAGCCCACTTGATATTTTGAAAAACCCATAAAAAACCAATGTCGCAAAAAATGTATATTGTGCTCAATTGTGTTTTACCGAAAAAGTTACACACCAATAGTCAATAGAAATGTTAACAATCTTTTACTCTTAGTACAAGGTATTAGCATTGATGAAATATATATTTAACACTTTCAACGCCGCTGACGCGTATACGCGGCAACAGAGTTTATTCCATTGGGCCAGTGACGCGTTTACGCGTCAGTAACATGTACGTTTGTATCCGCCATAATTTAATCGATTTTATTTTAATAAACTCTGAAATGTACACAGGCTGTAGACAATAAACTCTAAATTTAAATCTATAATTGGTTTGAGTTTTCGTTATTATTAGATACTGATAATCGTTGTTTTTGACGGCCTTCCCAAGAAAATGTATATGAACGTATACAGGGTGTATATTAGATATATTATTATATTATGAATTTTTCTACTGTTATTTAATAATAGTAACATACTGTATCATGCAATATGGCTACTTTGCCACTAATAATATTGAAAATACAATAATTTGTTTCATTTGGCGTTATATACGATACTACAACGGATGCCTGCAACGCGGCGTCGCGGTATAATTGCTGAAATCACGGGCGGCGTTGAACGTGTTAATCAATGGTATTAGGTAACTTCCCTGTAAATACTCAATGAATAATCCAAAAAAAAAAAAATTAATAACGACAAAACAAAAACTTAATAATAAAACTAATGTCAATAACAATTAACAATTGGGAAAAGGACGGAATGTTAATATCTAATATATTACCATATAGCTTATATCGGGGCCAATATATAAATAAGGTGATTAGGCCAAAATCGAAGGATAACATTGAATTGAGTCCCGCAAATACTTTTGGGTTATCGGAGTTGAGTCTGACCAATATTTTTAGGTTGTTCGAGTTGAGTCCCTTCAGCCTATTAGCGTTACCTAGAAGACACCACGTGGAGGTTGGCTGAGTAGTCTCCCGAAAAATGTGTGATGGTACCTACACTGTTTTTTTTTAATCATATAATAAATAATAATAAGTAGGTATAATGAGTCAATTAAAAATAATAACATTTATGTGTAATGTAATAATGTTTATAATTAAATAGTTGCTGGTAAAAATTTAAATGATACAGATTTTAAAAAGTCAAATCTGCCAATTGGCATATTTATGTATTTGTTTGTCTGCTCTCGTAAAAAATTTTCTTTTTCTAATGTTTTTTTACATGGTCTCTTTGCTTTGCTTCTTAGTTTTATATATGTATCGGACTGTATTCCCAAAAGAGTGTCCATAAGAATAAAAATATTTGGATGTCCCGAATGAAAAAAGGCATTTAATTTTGCATGAAAACTTTCACAGCTGTTAGTGGTCCGATTAGTGATTGCTGAAAAATCACACCAAACTTTGGGGGGAAACTGTGCAACATCATTGTCAACGTAGTTATTTAAAATGTAATCTGTAAAACTATCAATTTTTTCGTCATCACATGGTTTTATTGCCATCAAATCTTCCGTGAAACATTGGACTACGTCATTTTCATTTAAAAATGGCAATCCAAAAAAATACTTGAGATATCTACTTTTCTCAGAATCAGACTTGTATTCTTTAGACAGACCTAACTTCTGAATTGTACGCCACCAACTTTGACCCAAATGGAATCGACACCCTTTAATTCTAACATCGGTCCAGACTTATTTAATTGCATTATGGATTCCATTTTCGAAATCTACATACATTTCTGAAGGGCTAAATGTTAAACTTAGCGATGTACAATAGTTAATAATATGTTGAAATGCTTTTACATAAATATTCCACTCTTTCGTGGGCAACAACAAAAACACAAGAGGAACATATGAATCTTTATAGTAACCATGAATCGTAAAAATGTGGGTAAAGTATTTAGGACAGCTCTTAAAAGTCCCGTCAATATATATATTTTTTACATCACACAAAACATCTAAATTAATTTTTGTTGAAAATCCTACTATCGAAATTTCGAAATCATTCAAAAACATAAAGTTCTCGTCATTATTTGTTATAATATTCATTGGTTTTAATGCATTTTGAGTCTCATGGGTACTTTTAGGTAATTAAGGTTCCACGTGGGTAATTAACTCTGTAACCTGCAAACATTTGGACAAAATTATATATTAAATAACTAGCAAGTATAACGATATCAGTTTTTTTGGTGTGATTTAAAAATATTATTCGGGGGTACTTGAAACTTTTTGAGCAAGTTTATGATTACATTTTGTACTCAGAATGACATTTTCAAATTCAATTTTTTCGACAAAAATGAATTTATTACATACTATATAGTGCTTATGCCTAATAGTAAAATAAATTACTTTAATCATAATATTAACATAAAATATGCTTAGTAATATAATACCACTGACAGACCGTCTTATCTCAAATTCGTTTGTCGTATAGGTACAATGATTATGTGATGTCATTCAGTTCAATCTTCACATCCATTACAGTGACTCTCTAGACACATATTGTACATCTGAGCATTACC